GACAAAAGCATATCCAGCTACAACAGCAAAAGTTTCAGTCATACCCAGTGCATGTGGAACAAAGAAAGGATTACCAGAGTAGGGAGGAGTCAAAATTATATTCTGTGTTTGGATTTTTATCTCATAAGTTTTTAGATTATAAACAAAAAAAAAATCAATGGCATGACCATAAGCAAATAAGCCTAGTGGATCAACACCCACTGTGTAAAATTCCTGATGACTGTAAGAAGAAGTCTCAAGATTTTAATAATTATACGAACATGGGTTATCGCTTACATCATAATTGATTACATCTACAGTGTGGTTTCCACTTACCAGATCTTCTCCAATATGAACAAAATATTACTGACTAGCATTTTGTTTTTTCCCAGCTGCTATACTGTAGACATAATTTGTTCTACTTAAAAACGGAATACGACAAAATCTAGAACTTTCATTATAGGGACTAACTCCAACTACAAATGCTTGTACTAAATTTCTAGCTATAATCATTTGGTTATCGTTTATCACCAATTTAACACCATAGGCATCAAAATCCATTAAATTTGGGCTAAACTGATCGCTTAAAAGTGGATGAAGAAAAATAATGAAGCAGGAAAAGTAAAGCAACATGGCAAAAAATGAAAGAAAATCCGTCTGTATTTGTTGTTTCGATAATCAGGTAATACAGTGATAACAAATAATGTCAAGCTTCTATTTTAACTAATGCTTTGCACACTAAATTACTTGCCAATCGTTAAATTTAATTTAATGTTCATGAATGGTTTCATAACAAAGCACGACAGTCGAATAGTAAAGTGTACAAACGGATGATTGTTTTCATGTAGATTTCTAAACAGAGAGAAGATAGCGTGATTTCTTCCAACATTTTTCCATTATAGGAAAAGTTAATCAGTGAAACAAATTTCTGTGAGATACATTGATGCTTTTTGTCTAATTTTAAAACTGTCAAAGTTCTCTTTAGTCAAATAAAATTAGAGCTATTTTGATCAGTCGAACGCTCTTTATGAGTTGTTGATAGCCCTAGTGAAACTGCATGCGATGAGATTTGTCAGGAAAGCCTTCCACTAGAAAGACGCCTTCGTGATGGAATGGAGGTGTGTCTAGCTGCTGCTAAAAGAACGAGTGAGATTGAAATCTTGTCTCATGAAAGAATTGTAGTTGTACTTCCCGTTAGTGATGGGTCGATCTTCGAATCTAGCGATACCATTGCACTAAAGAAGTACAACGGGTAGAGAACAAAAAAACATATGACTACGCGTATTTATGTAGAACCGAGAATATTCCTTATTACGTTCTATGCTGTCGTCGTAATCATCGGGACAGAATAATAGAAAGCTCTTTAAAAACAAAAACTCATATATAAACGACCCTTCTAAAATTTTGGGATTATATAACTATTTCACAATTAATTATCAAAAGATAGTCTAATTAGCAATGATACAAGAGCTTTCAAATGGATCGGGTGACATTCATTAAAAAACTTCCATTAAAGCGTTCCTTTTTAATGAATGTCCTGGTACTTTCATTAAAAAAGTTTTTGATGGAGTTTTATAAAAATGATTGTGATGGCACAAGAATTTCATCTAATTTATATATCGCTTAGCAAAAGATACCTGTGTCACTTCACTATCACTAAGCGATGCATATCTTTTTTCCGCTTAAATACACATATTTTTGGGTCTTTAACTTATATTTTGTTCGCCGAACTTTCATTCAAATGTCTCTTACAAAGTGTCTGGGAACTGGAGTCTCATAGAAAATGTTTGATGGCATAACAATTTCATTAAAAGATTTTGATGATACAAGATAAAAATTTTAATGAAAATACAGGGTCACCGACCACAACGAAAGTTTCATTAAAAGTTGTAATGAACCTCCTTTTAATGGAAGCTTTTTAATGAAAAATCTTTTAATGAAACTCCGATATCTCCTTCCAAATGTCTATCAAGCCTCCTGTGACGAATCGGAATGGCCTATATACATAAGACTTGTAACCGGTCTGGTCTAAAGTTTGGACCGACCGGACCAGACCGGTTACAACTCTGATATACATCTACTAATAATACATGAAAATTAAATTGTCTGCAAGCAGCCTTGTGTAGAGATGCTCGATAAAGTTGATATAGCTTGGCATCAACGCAACATTTTTTCATGCAGTTTTCAGTAAGAGATCAAGCAGATAACGATCAAGAAAAATCGTTCGAAAAAATTTATAATATAGGTATAAAAGAAAAATTTCTACACAATCAATACTTAAGGATACTGCCCTCTTTTTTCACCTTGTTGCCAAATGCGGAGCACACCTCCGATTGAGCTCAGATTTATAGACATAGACATAGAACATCGAACACTGAGAAAGAAAATTGATGTATATTTGCTCAGAATTTCCAGAGATGTTCTTCTTATATGGGTTTTCTGGAAAAGTTCAGTTTTCATTGGGTCACATTGCGACCCCTCGAAAAAATGGTTCGATCAAACTCAAATTTTTACCACGGATACTTTAGACCTTATCTCAGGATGCAATTTTTTTTTCCGAAAAATATGGTTTCCTTCTCGAGATATACGAAAAATGACGAAAGCCAGTAAAGAAACTGAAAAAATCTGACTTTTTTTGCGTGATTTTCAGCATTTTTGGTATATCTCGAGAAGGAAAGCATGTTTCGGAAAAAAAAATTTACATCTAGAGATAGTATCTGTGGTAAAAATTTGAGCTCGATCAGACCATTTTTTCTAGGGGTCGCAATGTGACCCGATGAAAACTGAACTTTTCCAGAAAAACCATATAAGAACATGTCAGAAAATTCTGAGCAAAAGTATATCGATTTTCTTTTTCGATGTTCTATCTGTTCTATAAATCTGAGCTCAATCGGACGTGTACTCCGCATTTGGCAACAAGGTGAAAAAAGAGGGGAGGGCGGGGTTTACCCTTAATTGTTTTACTTGAAAATTTCATGATATCCAACTCATCTTCTTCTGTTGCGCAACGATCTCTGGATTGTGCTACTTCGTTTGCTCAGCTTAGCACTTTGAGAAACGGTAGCATTTGTACGGAGGTGCGTACTAGATTCAATCAAGCTTCTTTATAATCAGGGTTGAAGAAGAGAGAACTTACCGTTCGCATCAGAAAAGAAAACGATCTATGGATAATACACTTAACAATGTAAACTTTATTTGCACACTTTATGAGTGGTGAGACTAGGAGAATATTGTACAGATAATACCATATGAAATGAATGTTTTTTTGCTATCGTTATTCTAGTGAGCCTGGAAGAAAAAGAAGAAAAAACCATGTTATCAGATCTGACACATATGCCGTTTGTAGTTTACATATTTAGCAAGAAAAAGCTTTGAAAGTCAGAGAACTGAAAATTTGTTACTTTTGGATAAGTCGAGTGGGAGAATTACTGTTGTATCTCGCATAACTTTTTAAGTTATGAAATGCTTTATACTATATAGGTTCGTACAAGCTTCCAAGTTTATATAAGTACTCATGAAATATATAACATGTTCAATGAAGTTTCGTTCAGATGAATTTAGTGCGGTCCGAGTGACAACTGTATTTGCCAACTTATTTCTCTCGCATGTGCTATATATTCAAACAATACAAACAATTCTTTGGTAAAACGGAAGAAAAGGAAGAAAAGAAACGGATGATTTTATTCCATTACTGAACCAATCAACTGTGTTACTTCTCCAGTGCATTTCTCGTGATTTTTCATCAGCATAAGTAGCTTACATAGTGGGGACTAGGCCTCGACACTAGGTATGTAACGAATCGGATATTCGAAATTCGGATCGATTCGATTCGAATAGTTTTGAAATATACTTTGCATATTTCACAAGTACCGTTTGTGACACTTGAGCTGAACAATAAAAGTCAGAATCACTAAATCTCTGCTAAATGAGCAGAGATATGGTGCTAGTCCTATATAAATTTTATTTTTTTTGTATGAGCGTTTTGAGCTAAGACATATCACACATAATTTTTGGACTAAATACCTACGCAGTACAAAACGGTCGAATCTACTTTACAAACGTTATACTCTCTTTTTTCTCTTTGTGCAGTTAAATTGTAACCGCTTTTCTCAAGTGTAAAATGCAGGTCGACGAATTACATGCACTTAACATTCAACTAAGATTCTAACAGGTTATCAGCCAAGTGCTACCGTTTCGGAATATCGAACCCTGGCATCTTAGTTGAATGTTAAGTGCATATAAGTAATTACTAACATCTGGTTTTCGATTTTATTCATCAGCTGAGATTCTGCATGGTGATGCTCTTTCTCATCATGGTGATGCTCTTTTTTGTTACGAAAGTTTCGAAACTATTCTAGTTAATCTGTATTAATCAAGCAATTTTTTTTGCTTCAATATGCGTACTTGTTGATATATTCAAACCAATTGCATCACTTGTTTTTTGTTTATAAATACGAACAATTTCTGATATAATCTGATTTTCTAAATCTTGTTTAAATTTTCTACCTTGTTCAGATGAATTTTCCATTACAATAAATTGATCTTTTATATCTTGTTTCCATTTATCTAAATTACTAATTGCTTTTCTTAATTCTTTATGTTTGAGATCAACTATTTTTATAGCTTCATCAATTAGTAAACGTAGTGCAATAACGATTAAATCCCATGTTATTCGTACTATACTTAAATCTTTAAAATTTTGTTGTATACATGATGTTTGTCCATTCATAGCATTATCAACATGACTAATTAATGACATTATTGTTTGTGGATCAGAATATGATAATTTTAAAGTTGATGACATGCCCAATATACTTTGATTTAATTGTGGAATTAAATTATTCACAACTGTTTTAAAAATACTTTTATTTTTGTCATCATCGCGACGATCTACAAACCAATCCATATTTATTCTTAAATCTTCCCATAGATGTTTTGTATTTGAATTTGAACTATTAAATAACTCCTAAGCGAGATGGCTTCTTTTCATCTTTTTCTGGATTTGATAAATATGCGCGAATGTAATCAAATAGTATATTTCATCCATGACAATAAGTATGATATTTATCAATGTCTAATGTTGGACAACGATTATATATATCTGTTTTTAATGCTGTACCGCGTCTTCCTTCAACTAAACGATTATAATTATTTAATATTGTTTGTGTAACATCATTCTGTGATTTTTTGAATGAATTTAAACTTTGTCGAAACTCTTTAACTAATTCATCATGTCTTTTATTTAATGCATTTTCTAATTCATTTATATTAGTTTTTGTTCTTGTTTCTTTATCAAAACATTTTTTAGCACTATCTAATAATTGTTTTTGTACATGTGTTGTTGCATTTGTTTGTGCTATTGTATATGAATCTTCTTCAAATCGTTGTACTAATAATTGTTGATTACAACGTATTGATGGTTCTATATTTTTATTTATTCTTTCTTTTAAATCAATAAAATATGATTTCTGTGTATTATAATCATATTCATCATTAGCTTCATGTACAAGACGTGTTGTTAAATTTTCTAATTTATTTTTCCCTTGTTGAATAAATTGTTTTAAATATATGTCAGCATTGTTTATATTTTCATTTGATATCATTAATTGTTTCTGTTTTTCTAATTCACTGTCTAATAATAATTTACCTTCATTTAATAAAGTTGTTGATTTCATAATAATTATTTTTTTAGCTATATCTTTTAATTCATTTGATGTACTTAATTCATATAATGTTTTACACATTAATAAACCTTGTCCTAATTCATCAATGGATTTCCAATTATTTGTTAATTTATTATATAAATAATCAAAATCTTTATGACCATGACTTTGCTTTATTATTTGTTCATTTAAACTATGAAATATATTTAATCTTAATTCATTTATCTTTATTGGAAATGTTTGATTACGCCAACGTTGTTCTATATTTAAATCTGAATTTATGTCTTCAGAAAATGCACTTGGTAATAATACAATATTTTCATGTTTTATTTCTAATTCATCATCAATCGATACTTTTAAAAATCTACTACTTGTTTGTAAATTATCTTTAAATTGAGTTAATTGTTCACAAAATATTTTTTTATTACGATCCATTTGATCACGTAATACAAATAATAATTTAGGCTTTAATGGTGAACTTTGAAGTTGTAATTTTGCATATATACTCATACCAATCAAGCCTTCCAAACTGGAACTTAATTCGCCCTTATGATTAATAAGCACAATATGCGAAGATAATATTGCCATTGTTATCATTTGATTATCAAAAATGGAGCCAGACTCTTCTAATGATAATAATCCTTCTGTATCAAGTATAACAATTGTCATGTCTTTATAATATGCAATACCTAAAACAGAATTAGTATATAAATATCGTACATTTTTAAGAATCACAAATTTAATCAAAGTTGCGCTCATTGTCTATAGCACTTGCAAGCGATAACTGTTCGAGATTGCTTAAACTATCTAATTACGTATCATTATGATGGTGGTGCATAGCTAGAAATGGGTCTTTTGTATGTGTGTTAAGATTCACACCATTTCGAAATCCTAAAGAAATCCTGCCAGTATCCTCCCATGTTATCGAAATCGGCGGTTAACACCGGTTATCTTAAGAACCGACGGTTAACCGCGGAAATATATAAATTTCAGCTGAAACCATAGCAGCACAGCAGAAAAACGGACGGTTAACATCACAATTAACCAGAAAAACGACAACATGGGCTACTATTATTTTATGTACTTGTACCTACGATCCTAGCAAAATTTCAGATAATCTTAAAGAAATCTGTAACACCAGAAAGTTGTGGACTTGGCTAGGAATCAAATAGGATCCTAATAAAAAACAATGTAGTTAAAAAACAAATAAGAGATGTCGTTAATAATTACTTATACATATGTCTCTAGTGTCAGCGAAACATGTTTTCTTACTGCAGATGGATGCATCTTTTATATTACCCAGTCAGTCAGCTATACCGTTTGAAAATTCGTTTTAACGCGAGATTAGCTTAAAACATCGTGAAACTCTGTTTACGAAAAACTTATCGCGAGAAATTCGCTTAGAAAAAGCGCGAGAATCGCGTTTGAGTTAGTAATATATTGCATTTAATGCGCTAAATTTTTCGTAAACACAGTTTCGCTCGTTACTTTGAAGGTAAACTCGCGTTTTCTCGCGATTCTTGAGCCGGTGTCGCGTTGCAATGGTATAGTCGCACTAAACGAAATTGATATTGAAAAACCTAAAGTCCCCATAATATATTTGATATAGTTAAAGACTAAGTTTTCCGGAAGCAACTTTTTGCGAGGAATGCAATGGCAGTCTCGAAAATCCTTGAAAATGTTTCGAAACCGAAATAAGTATAAGCTGCGAGACGCATCTCAAAAAACGACAGAAACGAATGTAACTTCGTTCAAACGCGAGAATCAGTGCATTGTACTTTCTTCGAAAACAAAAATCGCAATTCCTACAAGAATATAACGAATGTATTGAGTTTTAGTACTCGGTGAGGGTGAAGATGAAATCTTCTTTTTACAAACGTGGGAAATTAAAGTTATTCAAACTCGAAACGCAACTTTTTTCAAGTGTTGAACACAAAACGCGACACACAGTGAAAATTTGCGTTCAAAACGCGTTAAATTTGTTTCAGTTGAGCCCTAAACACGAAAAATTAGATGCCGTTCGCGAGTCTTAAAGCCTACTGCGACTGAAAACGCGTTTTTAAAAAGTTATGATGGACATAATCGTGTTTCTCGGGAAATATTGATGGCAAAAACGCGGTTTTGAGTAAAGCGTATATTTAAAGGTCAGGAAATTCGCCGGTTTCATGGTGAAACTATATATTCTCGCGCTGTATGAACGCTAAAACCGCGTTAGAACGAATTTTCAGAAGATATAGGTGCCTAATTGGGAAGACAGTAACTCAAAACCTTTTTTGGAAGTAGGTTTCCGAGGCGATCTTTGGAAAACTAGCTCAAAGCTCAAGATCTACAAATACGAACATTTTAATTTTTCTTCATGGATATATAGTCTGAAGTGTACTGTTCAAAATAGGAGTCAGGCGAGACCTTGATTTCCAGTGGTTCGAGCATGATATCGGACTGGTATTCGGCAGCTTTAGGTAGTGTTGAAATCGCACAGAACTGACGTATGTAACCACACTGAATCTGATGGAGATATTTATTTTTCGAAAAAGCTAGAAAAATCTAGCGCACTCAAAAGACATCAAAATTAGTTGAAAACATCAGCATGTGATTAACAGTGCTCATTTAACAGGATTCTATGATGGACAAACTTGAAAAACCCCGTTATTGATTGATCGTTTTCTGAAAAACCTTTCGGAAAACCATAAGAATTTTGAGTAGATTTCTTTTAAGAAGGATATAGAACAGCCTGAATACCGTACATTCTAATGTTTACAAATCGTTCTCATGCTGTTTGACTGAGTTATGAATTTTTTAATATCAGGTGAAAACAGCACGGAAACCCCAACTTTCATAAAACTCGAGTTTGACCTGGTTTTGGAGCTTTTTTCAAAAATAAACATCTCCATCAGGTTCAGCGTGGTTGAATACGTCAGCTCTATGCGATTTTAAGACTACCTAAAGCTACCGAATACCAGTCCTAGGGCTTCAGGGAAGTCCGATATCATGCTCGAACCACTGGAAATCAAGGTCTCGCCTGACTCCTATTTTGAACGGGACACTTTAGACTATGTATCCATGAAGAAAAATTAAGATGTTCGTATTTGTAGATTTTGAGCTTTGAGCTGGTTTTCCAAAGATCTCCTCGGAACCTTAGTTCAAAAAAAGGTTTTGAGTTAGTGTCTAATATAAAAAGGTGCTTCAGAGTTGCCTCTTTTCGAAGTTGGAAACCCGAATTCTTTCATTCCTTCCGTTCTTGACTTATTCAACAAACAGCCGCAGGCGTCATAATTTGAAAAGGATAGTAGAAATTTTAGCAGGACAAAACGAGAAAATGTTTATCGACTTTTTCAAAGTTTTCTGGTAGAAATATTCAGCGAAGAATATCTTAGGAAATCTTTTGAATATTCTTCTGAAAAAACAAATTTTAGAAAGATTACTGTTACTATTAATAGGAATATATACAATATTTGTATTACTGGTAACAGTAACAGTAATGTGCCACCCCTAGTCGAAGGTAAGACACAATTTCTTCCGGCATACTTCCGACTTTAATTATTCGTCTATAGTTTTATAGACTAGCATATATATGAGTCTTCAGGAACATAACTTTCAGGAAATGTGTATCACTTTGAGATATGCTTATGGTAATATTTCTAGATTTAAACTCCTAAGTTTTGCGGAGTTAGAGACGTTCCAAATTCAAAAAAATTACCAAACGTCACCAACGCGAACTCTTCCCACTCTTATAATTTATCCCATCGAACTAGAATTTCTACTGAAAGTACTACATATTATTTCTAAGTTTATTTTATTTTTGTTTTCTATCTTCTTCCTGTAAGATGTTATGGCAAAAAACTAAAAACCTCGTCAAAAACCGAGATTTTTTGACGGACACACTAGACTGTTTAAATTTTTACTGGTCAAGGAAAAGGGATAAATAGAAAACAAAAAAAAGGAACCTTAGATATATAATTCTGTAATCTGACGCTAAAATAAATAAACAAACAAATTATATATTACCTAAATAAACTCCAATAGTACATCTTCCAGAACTAACACGAAAATTACACCCAAATGTACTATTCAATAATGAACTTTTAGCCGATGATTGTTCACCAATAACAGTTAATACAGCTAATCGACCAGAAACACGTAATCTTTTTATTATATTTTCCATTAAACGACTTTGACTATATAATGGTCTACTACGTAATATATGTATAGCAAAACCTTTATAAACTAATTGTGATATACGATCAGCTAAACGTTCAAACATATTTTGGTATTTATCTAACATTGTTGGTTGTTCATCAAAATAATAATCATATAATTCAAATAATTCATCAACAAATAAACCAATTGTTAAATCAACATTATATAATTTTAAATCAAGTTTTTCTACATCATTTTTTAAATTTATTGCTTCATTACGTAATTGATTTAAATATTTCAATATTTGTTCATAATCAGACTTTTTACCATTTTTATTTTGTAAATCAATTTGATCTTCTAAACGTTTTATATTTTTATCATGTTCATATATTAATTGTTTTTTCTTTTCTTTTTCTAATTTTAAATTAGGTACATATAATGAACGCCATTTTTCTAAATATACATTTGTTATTAATAATTCTATATATGTTTTATTATTAATTAAATTAATTATAAATTGGGTATATGATGTAAATGTTGTATATGTTTTACGTTTATTTTCTAATTCTTTTAATTCTAAACCTAATTTTGATCCTAATGTTGATTCAATATCATCACATAATTTCTTTTTTATTATATTTATTTGTGCACGTAAATAACTTAATGGTGTTACAATTAATAAATTTTCTGTTTTATCTGATAAATGTTCAAATAATTGTTTTAATTCATTTTCAATTTCATATTTTAAATTAAGTTTTGATTGTTGACAATTTTTTTTTGTTCTTAAATAAGTTGTTTGTATTGAAAAACATGAACGAAATAATGATTGTTGTTCTATATACTGTTCACCTTCTATAAATATATTACGAAATGTTGCTATTAAACGATTAGCACGACGTTTGATTTTAAATGTATTTAAATTTTGATTTGTTAATAATGAATTAAATATTGGTGCTGTTGTCCAATATATATGTGACCGTTGTGTTTCATTTGCATAATAATTTTGAAATTTATTAATTAATTGTTCATCAGATGATGATTCATTATCATAATTTTGAACAAATACAACAATTATTGTTGGAATTTTACATGTTTCCAATGAATAATTCATTATTAAATTTATAAAATCTTTATCATTATTTCTTGATGGTAAATCATCTTTTGTTACATAAATAATTTGACAAGATGCATATAATTGTATAGAACGTATTAAATCTAAATTATATTCATTATGTATTGTACCATGTACATCAAATATAATATATGGTTTATTTTGTGCATTAGAAAATAATACATCAATACATGATGAACGAAATTTCATATTACCATCATATGATAATGATTCTTTTCGTTTATCATTAAATATATATGGTAATAAACTTGTTTTACCTAAACCAATACAATTTTTACTACCTAATTGTATGATTAATCTATCATCTGTCAAACATAATATTTCTGTTAAACAATTAAAATTAATTTTATATAATGGTGCTTGATGTTTTTCATTCCATATATAATATGATAATGGTATTGGTAAATCATTTTTACGTATAAAATTACCTAAATAATTCAAATAGATTATGATTACATTCATATAAAAACTAAAATTTAAGCAATTATAAAAATATATAAAGAAAAACTAATTACCTAAAAAATATTGACTTTCATTTGACATACATTCAATAGCTATTATTAATAGAATACGTTTTGTAATCGAATCAATAAATAATTCTAACTTTTTTGTATTATTTGATAAATCTAAACATGTTGGAAACACATCTTGAATATCACATAATGCATGATAGCGTTTAAGGCTATCTATAATATACGGTGTTATGCTTTGTTGTCCATTAATAATTGAAACCATTTCTTTTGCATCTAATGGTTCAGAAATTATTGTATTAAATGATGGATCAAGTAAGGATGCATTTTTTGCGTCAGGAACATGAACTACATCGAACCAAGTTGAAAGTATATTTTTTTCGTCCGAATCGAAAAGATCTTCTTGAATTGTCTGAAGATAAGTGCTATTATTTGATTCTAGAAGTTGTTTTAGATCAATGTATGGACTTGATTCATAGTCAGTATGAGCTGAAATGATAATGAGAAATTTATGTAATTTGGTGGCTGATGATTTGATTACTAAAGAGATTTATAAATAATACAGAGTATTTTATGATTATCATTGAAGGCTGGGCGGATATCCGATTTGAGAATATTCGAATGATAAGCGAGAAAAGAATGATTACATCAACGCGTATTTCCAGCTTTTCTGTCTTTCATGCTTTTATACTTTTATACTTTTCTGACTTTTACGCTATGGCGGTCGATATTCTGTCTCGGATATCCGCGAACATTCATAATTCAGATATTCTTAATTCATATATCCGCCCATTAGAGCCCTGCAGGTTAAACCTAACCTAACCTTATCTACTAGATTTGGGTTATGAAATTTTTTATAGGTTAGGTTGTAGGTTACGCCATTGATAACTATTTTTAACCTAAACGAAAAAAAACGATTCTGAACCACCACATTTAAAACAGCCAAATTGGCTGTACAGTATAGATCACGGATGACGGTAAAAGTAAAGGAAGAGAAAAGATAACGTAGGACGGTAAGGAAATCTTTTTTCTTACCGTACGAAACGAAGAAGTTGCGTTTATTACACGAAATTCTTAACGTAAGTGAATCATCCTTAACGAAATAACGTCAAACAGTATAGACTAAAAACCATACTATACAGTATACAGTATAGTATGGTAAAGCGAAACAATAATACATGAAAGTTCAAGATCCAGGCACACACACATAGAAACAAAAAAGTCTGTTTAGCAAGAAGCGAATGGCAACGAGATAGAGAACAAAAGGACACGTTATTCTTCGTCTATACTGTATACGTGAAAAATCTTCTTTCGAAACAGATACATTTAGTAAACCCCCCCCCATAATAGAAGCCTCCCCCATATTAGAAGCCCCCCTCTGGAGCAATCGATGTGGAAGGTGTATTAGAAGCCCAGGGGCTTCTATTACGTCGGAAAAATAATTTAAATTTTTTAAACGACATATTTGATCG